GCGGCCTGGGCTGTGGGTCCCCGGTTCCCCAGCGAGCTCCATGGAGCCTGGTGGCCGCTGCGGCCGCCCTCTACCTGGTGTCGGCCACGTCTGTGTGGACGGCGGGGGCCGCACCCATGAGTAGGGAGGAGAAGCAGAAGCTCGGGTAAGGGTGTTTGGCAGTCTGGATGGGTTTCCTGGTAGAGCTGACCAAGGGCGGGGTGCCTGTCATTGCAACCCACGAGCGCGGTGGCGTCTCCACTCGCGATTGGAACAGCTGCTACTGAGCGAGGATCTTGGCGGGTGGGCAGGGTCCGGGAAGATGGGGGTCTGTCCCCGTGTCGCCCTGGAGGTCGGTGACAGGTGCGAGTTCCTTGAGGCCAGCTGGTGTGTTGACGCCGCTGTCACGCCCGTGGCGGGTGAAGGGGGCTGTATCACCTGTGTGGCTGCGCGCGAAAGTCCAGCGGCTGCTTTTCCGACGGAGGCATGGTTGAGTTTCTCGCACAAGTGAGCTAGCTACCAGATGGAAAAATGTTGCTGGCCTGACATAATTAAGGAAATGGTGTTTACACTTGTAAAGAGGGCTGTTCGTTGGAACTTGAACTTCACAAATTTTGCCCTTTCCTTGCAGGGTTTTCCTATACTGCCTTTTCATAGTAGTAGAGGCTATTTGTTGGTATTCAAAAGCCATAATTAAGTGCACCTACTTACTTTACTCACGGTAGTTTTATCAGTCTTCAGAGTGTCATAAAACTCAAGTTATATTTACAGCGTTTAATTCAGTCAGTAATAGTATTATGCACAGGGCCCCAGAAAGGAATAAAAACTGAGAATCAATAGCAAGTGGGCAAAAGCATGAACAGTTAAGTCAGAGAAGCGGAAATGAGATAAACATAAAAAGTTACTCCACCTCATCCATGCGAGAAATGCAAATTAAAACGAGATAGCTGTTTTTGCTCGTCAGATTAGTAAATACGAAACTCGGGTATACAGTCTTGGCTATTTAAGGTACGAAAGAAGAAAACCTTACTGGGAATGTAAATTAACGTAACTTTTGGACAGTATCTCCTAAAATTTAAATCTTGCATACTTCTTGATACGTCATTCCTATCCCTGGAATCTACCCGATAGAAACACAAGCACTGGATCGGCGGTTTAGCTCAATGGTTCCACCACCTGCTCGCAAGCGCAAGGTCCTAAGTTCAATCTCCAGGCCCCCCCCCAAGAAAAGAAATACAAGCACTGTTAATGTAGAGATAGATGTACAAAGGTGCTCATTTTGAAAGAACAGTACTGTTCCTATGAGAGAAATGGTTGAATATGTTGCATCCTTTTCATGCATTTCTCACATTGATGAGGTTGAGTAAGTTTTCATGTTTATCTCATTTCCTCTTCTGTGACTTCTCTGTTCATACTTTTGCGCACTTGCTATTGATTCTCAGCTTTTATTCCTTTCTGGGGCCTTGCGTTCAGAAGACCGAGGTATGTTATTAGAAGGCGATCCAGGATTTATTCCCAAGAGCGCCCCCCCGAAAAGAAGCAAATTGAGGAAATATATATCTATCTATATATATATAGGCACATGTATATGTTGTCATACCATGTTGTGTTTTTGTAAACAAAAGGTTAGCTTGGAAAAAAGTAGAAAGATAATATATGTCATAGTGTTAGGATGAAAAGGAGGTGGAACCATCAGGTTTATTTTTGTTTTGGTATGGTGGATCGAACTCAGGACCTTATGCTTGCAGGGCAGGTACGGTGCCACTAAACTAAATCCCTGGTCCCATCAGGTTTTAATATATGTTCTTCTATAAATGCCCCCTTTAAATGCTTCTTTAAATCATTACATGAATCTTTGTATTAATTTTTAAATAAAATTGTAAAAGAGGATGCTTAGTGGAAGATGACATATTAACTATCAAAACAATTACCAGTAAGCTCTAATAAATATCCTAAATATTCTCTTACGAATCCAGTGTATCATTGATAATGTTTTTACTGAATACCCCATTCTTTGGGTACTTTACAAACATGTAAAGTAGTATTTTATCATCTGTGTAGTCCTTTTCATTCATAAGATGGGTGGGATATCCATTTTGCTAAAATATGAGACTTCAGGTTAACTTGTAGGGAATTGCAAAGCTAGTAATTGATAGAGCTATTTTTCAAACTAACCGCAGAGCCCATACTCTTTCCTCTATGCTGCATTTCTTAAGGGTTAGAAGAGAAATATAAGCTTCCCAGAGCCCTGGGATTACAGGTATAACCACCATGCCCACTATAGAATTAATTTTTAACTGGAAAAACCCAACCAAATTGACCTGAAATTTCTCCTTACATTTTGACATAAGTTTGCAGAAGAGAAATGAGTTATTTAGCCTTGTTAATTTAGATTGCCCCACTATGCAGTAAGGGTAAAGAGTCTTACACAAACCACTACATAATCACATGGCTGCTTTCCCCTTTGGGAATTTTCAGAAAACTGAACTCTGATTCACTAGGCTTATTTGTGAGATTTTAAAGAAAGCTCAAATAATGATTTATGATAAAACACAGAAAATGTCATACCCCCTTTCTCTACACCCCTAAACCAAACAGGTTAAAGGGGAAAAAAAAGAATTGGAATTGTTAATGGCAAGCAGTTGCTCAATTGTTTGCCTTCTGTGAGCTGTGGACTGTGTAATTAATTACATTTAGTCCTATCCTTCATGGAATATATGGGTTTTGTTATCTTTTTATTTAAAAATGAATTTAGGGCCAGGGATTTAACTCAGTGACATCTTGCCTGCCTTGCAAGTGCAAGGTCCTGAGTTCAATCCCTGCTACCAAAAAAAAAAAAAAAAAAAAAAAAAAAAAAAAAAGAATAAAACAGTCGAGTTACTGTAGAGTTGGCAGGCAACAGAACTTTAGAAAAAGCTGACTTACAGACATTATTAAAAATGAAGAAAGACATACTTTTTAAAATTGAGTATCTGCTTTTCCTGCAGCACTCCAGCCCTTGAATATGAATATTTTAGAGACAGACTGATTCCTTAGTTCCAGATTTACAGGATTTTTAGTCAAGTAGGGGGATATGAAATACCCATTTTAAGCAACTATCTTGGAGAGTCTAAGAAATAGATAAGCCAAACCACATAAATTTCATTTTGAGTCTTAGATTTCTCATTATAGAGCTGAAAGCTATTTTTTCTCAGTTTTTTGAGGGAGGAGACTATGTATCATAAAGTATATCTTTTTAATATACGGCAAACAATACGTACTGAAACTAGGCATTAGTAGTTTTATTCAGTTTAATGGGAAAGGCAGAGGCTTGATAAAATATTGTTTCCTGTTTCTTATCAGTCATCCTACCTCTCTTTTAGTAGAACATACAGGATAATCAGTAAATGATACTACTAATTATTTCCTTTGGGGGCTCTCTAGCAGTATTTCCCCTTCAAGACACATGTTACATAATTATGTTGAGAAGTATAGTAATTGTTTTTCAGCATCAGTTTACCTTTCCTTTGATTGTCGTAGGTATCATTCAACAGATTGTTTTAGGAAAAATGTAAAAGAGTTTCATATAATTTTCTAGGAATTGTAAAAGTTTGGACCAGCTCTTTGTGTGAGTTCTTGAACTTGTCTAATAACTGATGTATTTCTTGACTCTGTGTCTCCCCCTAACTAAATATTACCTTTTTTTTTCTTGGTGTGTTTTTATGAGGAAGAATTATCTTTCTGAAACAATAAATAAGATATAATTTTCTCCTTTTTTGTTTTTTCAAAATTAGGAATCAAGTACTGGAAATGTTTGATCATGCTTATGGTAACTACATGGTAAGTAGAAAGGTTATCTTTATATGAATTTATTATGTGAGTAGGGTCAACTGGGAAATTTGAAACATGAATTACCAGCACATTATTTTAAAGTTTTAAAAAGCAGGGAAGATGGAAACAGAGCTTTTGTAAATGAGGTTAAGAGAAATTAAAGGGATGGGAGGGGTTTGGGGAAAAAAGAAGAATCAAGATACATCATGTATAGGTACAAATTCCCTATGATGAATGTGATCATTATGTATATCTAAAATGTACCAATAAAATTAATTTTAAAAAACAGAATGCCTGTTAAAAAAAAAGCAGGACAAACAAGCTAACAGAGTATTCATGTGGTGGTTTTTCAGGGAGCCATTTTATTGAGTAGGTAAGAAAATTAAATTATGAAATATTGTATTTAAAGTTTTCTTGGGCACTGGTAACTTTCACTGAGTTCTTTAGGTAGATATTGTGAATGTAAAAATGAATAAGATACTATCTTTGGTGCTATGAGAAATTCCTTTACTTTAAAAGAAACTGTAATATTACTTTGTGGACTCTATAGAGAAATCCTTAAAAAAAAAAAAAAAAGAAATA